GCTGTATGTTAATAAAAGTGCCTGTGTGACATCTGGGAAACCGCTTTAAGTAAGAACTCTCTTTTTGTTCTTACTTTATGGCTTAAAAAAATATCGAGATATATATCTTATATCGCTATCCAGCTAAAAATTATAGAGATATGAATTTTGGGTCATATCGCCCAGCCCTAATCTGAGATATGTATCAAACTTGACTTTTGTGTACTGTTGGGGATAGACCAGATGAATAGACAGATCACAACCTTTGGAGATGATCTGTGTTTTTGTTGTCAAGAGATCCTGTTTTAAAACAAACAAAAAAACAACACAATAGTTGATCCATCCAGTTTTTTATCCACTCAACTGTAAAACGATGGTGAGTGTACTGTCGTCACCCTGCCGGGCGGGCAGGCAGCATAAACACGCAAATTTGTTAATGCGATAACTTAAGAATGAGGCAACATGAAAGTTTCACATTTGACAGGTTTGATTCCTGGTGACCTCAAGGTTAGAGCTTTCTGAAAATCGTGTGTATGCGATAACTGAAATGAGGCAACATACAATTTTGAAATTGGTACTATTGACTAGTTTCACACTTAGCTCATCTACTAGGAGGCTGAGGGGTAACACTGCCAGCCACCAGTAATTTCTGGCATGTCTGTACACAGCAGACCCAAACTAATTTCCACGATTATTAAATACCTACCTCATTAAACAGCTCACAAATATATACATCACTACCTTTTTCTTTCTTTTTTTTTAATTCAAGGAAATGTGATGGTATTTACAACATCCATGTATTCACAGTGAGTAGGGTAGGAAGTCACAATAGGGCAGAAGGAAAAGGAAACAAAGCACAGAATAAGATAAAACATCGACAAAACCACTGTAATCATGTGTTTCCCGACTGGGCACGTACTGCAGTTGACTATGTGGAAGCATTTGTGTGACAGTTATTTATTTTTAAACATACATGCTCTTACTAGACTTTTCCCCCAACACACTATGATCACCTGACATCCACATGTCACTTTTCTATTTTATTTTCCCTATTCTTCCCATTTTAGTACTGTAGTTGAATGTGCATTACATTTTCATGTGCCAACACTTGACTAGTGCAAAGCATAAAAATGGTAGAATAAGTGAAATGGGTTTAGCCCAGGGCAGGTCAAGACCACAGGGTCCTGATAGCTGTCTAGACTGAAGCTCACATTACTGCAGTCCACTTACTGAGTGTGCAGTGCCCAGCTCATGTCCACGGGATCCATCATTTCCACACTTCCTGTTCATCGTCTGTGCAACGGGTCTAGTATTCTGGCAGCATCGTGTCAGATCGGATGCTTGAAGTAAAATATCTGTGTTTGGTACAAATCCTTTGGAAACTCTGAAAAATCCTTTAAACCAGCCGGTGGAACTAAAATGAGGACAGATTAAGCAACTCAATGTCTTCTTTCTCACCTCGCATGTTTTCACAAACACATCCCAAAGAAAGTTGGCAAACAAGCCATCATGTTGTTTTCAGTTTGAAAGCCCACGTGAGGCGTTCGCCCAGTCAGATGCAGCTCAATGTTTACACGGTTGTAGGAGGATGCAGGAGAGAGAG